GACAGGCTGTGCACCTGGCCCCTTGTGCTGTGTGACTTCACACCTGTTGGGCTTTGTGGGCTCTCTGAGACAACCTATACAATTACCTGCTCTTCTCCCCAGAACAAGGACAATGCATTCTTCTAGCCCAGTCTGTTCAATGCCAGCCCACAGTGTCTGTTCTGAAAGGCAGTGGCAGTCTCTCTCCCAGTCCCCTCACAGCTACTTGTGTAATTCACTGCTGTCTCCAGTGCCCTGTACTTAGTAAGAGCTCAATAAACAGTTGAGGAATGAACAAGCCCAGTGTACACTGTTTGCCTAGGTTACCGAAATGTCCCCCAAACCAGGATTCATCAAGTATGAATTTTCAGTCCTCCGGAGCACCCCGTGCAGAACCACAGAAGATAGTAAATGAGCATGTGCCAGTTCCAGTTGACTAGCTCTTTCTCGTAAGGCCTGTTGTGATTCCTCTCTGTCTCACTGTGACTCTCAATGGCGATGGGCCTTGCAGGACTGGCTCAGGCCCTCTGCTTGCTCAGGACTGTCCTGGGCTTTCCAGAGCCACCCTGAGGCCCAGGGTGTGATCCCTGGAGGAAAGACCTTAGGTCTGACATGCAGAGGCCTCAGGCCAGCAGGAAGCCAGAGGCCACCGGGATCAGGAATTAGAGACCCTCTTGGCATCATCTCCCCATCAGTGAGCCAGAGCCAGGAGGCCCCAGGAATAGGCTCAGGGACGAGGCAAGAAAAGACTGCACCCCAAAGCTGGCACAGACAGTGGCCACCTGTCCCCCTGTCATGGTCACCCAGCCCATCTCCTGTAGGAGGCTGAGACTGGCTGGACCTAGAATCTAGGGCTCCTGTCCCCAGAGCCAGATGCACCTTCACCCCCACCTGCTGAATACCTGTAGAGCATGTGGTTGGTCCCCCTGGGGGGGATCCAGGAGAGGAATGGGTCAGGATAAATCCTGGCAGAGCCTGGATGGCTTCATCCCAGGTGCTCAGGGAGGCCAGAGGGGCTGGTCAGAGATGCCTGGGAGAGATGTCAAGCAGAATCTTCTGGAAACTTCTGGAAACTTCCTAAAGGAACCACTAGAGAGAAGGCCTCTCATCCTGGTATCAACTCTTACCAGCCTTGAGGGAACCCCTTTGTGCCTCAGTTTCCTCACCTGGAAAGTGAAGTAAAGGCTGAATGGGAGGAGACATGTTTCAGAACACAGACTGGCCCTTTTTCAACTAGTATCACATGCCCTTTTCCCAAGGGAGGGGATCAGCCGTACCAGGGCCTGGAGGCCTGGAGGCCTGAGGCCACCTCCGGGGACAGTTAAGCTCTCCAGCTCCCGGGGACCTGTGGCTCACAGCCTGAGCCCAGCCCTGCCGGCCCTGGCAGCTGATCAGATGTGCTGTTCCCACGCAGCAACCAATGTGGCCAGATGGACGGAGGCGGCCTTGGAGGCCACACTGGGGCCATTAGGGCTGCCCTGGACCTGGAGGAACTTGTTTGGAGGAGGTAAGGGCTCTGCCTGGCACATGCTGGGGAGACATCTTTACTAGAGCCCCAGTCAGGGTGGGTTTGCAGGAGGCACAGGACAAACTGAGACCAAGTTTTCAATTCTCTCTCATTTATCTGTTTCGTTACTCTCTCAGCACCCTGAGCATTTTTAAGCCCCAGGAGGGATGGGCAACAGGGACTCTGCTGACCACAGGGCAATCCTGATGGCTCCCTGCAGTGTCCACTGCCAAGGAGTAAACCAGCAGTGGATGGGAAATGCTGGGAAAAATGATTGCGTCTGTATTGAACAGGTGCAGAGGTTTTTTTTTATTCTTCTTATTCCCTACACAATACAGTCCAGCAACTATTTCCACAGCATTTCCATGGTGTCAGGCATTAGAGGTTATCCAGATGATTTAGAATGTTTGAGAGGTGCTTAGGTTCTATGCAAACACTACGTCATTTATATAAGCACCTGAGCAACCTTAAATCTGGGTATCCCAGGGTTTCCTTTGGGAGCCCGTTCCCCCCAGATACTGAGGGACAACTGTAGCCACATTGGTTAAAGCCAGACTGGGCAGAAACTGTCTCCGTGAGTCGACTGGGTAAGTGTCACGCCCCGCCCCCAATCCCATGAAAGGACTCGGACTCCTGGAGGTTGGTGCCCCAGCCAGAGCCCACACAGCTCAAGGGGTCAGGCCAAATTCAGTCCCTGTGTGTGCCCAGCTGATGTGGGTGGCCCTGCCCAGTCTTCCCAGCTGGTTTAGGTCTTGACTTACTGTGGGTCCTTGGCCTCCAGCCCTTCCTGAGCCTTGGTCCCCTGTCTGGAGAGAAAACAGTTGCCCCAGCGCTCACAGAGATCCTCTGGGCTTAGGTAGTCTCTAGATCAATGGCTCTGGCCCAAGGATCCCGAAATCCTACCCATTCCCAATGGCCCTGTGGAGATGCCTGGCAGGGGGGTGCCCATCATAGCTTTGGTTGCCTTCCAAACTTGTCTGGACCTGGAGCAGTGCCGGCAGGCCCTGGAGGAGCACTATTTAAGGAGCCACTCTCTGGTGGCCCCAGCCCTGCTGCAGCTCCAGGGAGCACTCTAGACCATGGTAGGCTGGGGCCACCCTCCCCGCAGCTCTGCTGTCCCTAGGGAGCTTAGCCCCTCAGCTTCGGGGCTGCAGACCCCTCCCTCCGGCCCATAGGGTCTCCTTCCCAGTTCCAGTCTCAATCCAGAGCTGTTTCTTTACCCTGATCTCATCCTGCGACCTTGACTTTCTGTGTGATTCTAACTTTCATCTCATGCCTGCACTCACCTTGACCTTGGCTTCATTCCTTCTGCTGATGTTCTCCTTTGGCCTTGACCTTGACCTGCTGCTCTGCTTTGGTCTGACTTCATCTAATCTTGATAGGTGGCCACTTTATCCATGTAGGTTGTGCTTGGGGTCTCTGTTTTCCTGGACTCAGTGGGGGCTGCCGAGGTCAATGCTGGGGGGAATGAGGATCGGGAGGGTGGAGGGAGATGGGTGAGCCAGGTTTGGGGGGCTTCATGGTGGACATGGTTCCTGTTGGGGTCTGGGGTCAGTATTCCAGACAGCATGCTCACCCAGCCTCTGCCCCTTGTGCCTCGTGGGGCTTGTCTGCCACTCTCCCTGTCCCTGTGTGACAGCCTCCCTCCCCTGCAGGCTCTCAATCTTACTGTTCTTTGACACTTATGTCTTGCTTCCCGCTCCCATGAATCCCTCTTGGCCTGAACTCAGACTTGGCACCTGTACCTCCTCTGTCATTCTCTATTGGTCCCTTGTCCCCAGCTGGACTGTGTCTTTGGGGACAAGGGCAGGTCTTGATTCAGCTCTGGGTCCCAGGAACTGGGTACAGGGCACAGGTATTCAATAAATGTCCTGATGCTTTGAGGCAGGCATTCTCTTGATTTTATCAGTGGGGAAACTGAGGCTCAGAGAAGGAAGTGTATTTCTTAACATCACAGAGGCTGTGAGCTGCAAAGTCAGGATTAGAACTCAGGTCTTTGTGGCCTCTGTCTTGCCTGGGATGCTCTTTCCAGAGGATCTTATTTTTTAGGGGCCCAATATAAAGGGGAATTCTTAAGACAGCCAGGGCCCAGGCCTCACTGGCCCCTTATGCAGCCAGCCAGAGGGTCCCCTCCTTCCTGAAAGAGCTCTGGACCACAGTAGGGTGGCCTGTGCTGAGGGAGACGGATATGAAAGGCTGGGAAGGAGTAGAAGTGGGGGGAGTCGAGGTTCAAGCCAGATCTGAGCAAGAAAAGGCAGAATATCCCCCAGACGGAAGTGATCATTTTTTATTAATCAGTGGGAAATGTATATGTAATTATGTGAGCTGAACTCTGCAGGGAAGTTCTTTTCTTTATGCTGTCTGAAGGGATTTATAAATATTACAGAGGTTTTACAGCACCCTAACGTCTCAGCCGCCCTGCCAGCCCCCTTTCAAAGGATTAGCAGAGACAAAGCACCCAGTAAAAGCTAATTATATGTCGGCCGGGTGCTGCTGCTCCAATGAGGGCCCAGAGCTGGAGGGAAGTTGGGGTTAGGGCAGGGTGGGGGGCAGAGGAGACCACACAGGTGCTGGGGTGAGGGGTGGGAAGCAGGGAGAGCTCAGGCTGGAAGTCCAGACAAGAGCTTGGCAGAGGTGGCTCTGGCTGAGCTGGAGGCGGGAGCTGTACCTTCTCCTCTCTCTTGGGGACACCTAGGTAGCTTTCTTCCCTCATCAAGGCCAATTCAGGGATCCCCCAGGACTAGCCCTGCAATGATGGCTGCTGAGGGAGAGGCCCTTCAGGGAGTGATGGAGACTAAGAGCTTTCAGAGTGTCAAGGGGCAGCCCTCAGGCACGATGCCATCCTGAAAAGGTGGCAGGAGGCCAGCCAGACATGGGGATGGCTCCATGCAAGAGGCAGCTGCTCTATCTGCCCTTTAGGTGGCACCTGGGCTCTGGGCAGCTGTTCTCCAGAATGGCCCAATCCCCACTCTTGGCCAGGTGCAGGATGGGGTGGAGAGGGCAGAGATGGGACAGAATGGGCCTCACCACTGAGGTCTCCACTTAGTCAGGGAGACAGGGAGAGAAATGGCAGAACAGTGTGGCTCATGTTGTGGCAAGTGACAGTCCCAGAACAGAGAATGAATGGCCTGGGGGCCAGGAAAGGCTTCTCAGACCTAGCAGAGGAGTTGATATTTGCAGAATTCTTCCAGATGGAAGGCAGGGAAGGCTTTCTGGGCATGGGGTGCAGGAGCAGATGCTGGGGGGAAGGAAGCTCAAAGTGGGGTTGGGGTGAGAAGGGGACCCAGGCGAGAGGAAAAAGAAGGTCTGGGAATGCAGCGAGGGACAGATTTTGCTGGACAGACATCATGCATGATCCTGAGAACATTCAGGAAGCTTTTGCAGCTGGACAAGGTGAGACCACAGCTGTAGTGGAGGATGACAGGGGAAGGGACAAGGAGCTTCACACAGGAACTGAGGATAGAACAAGTGTCCCCTCCGTTCTACTACACAAGGTCTCCCTGCTCCCTCGTAGGCACCTCGGAGAGCCCGGAAGAGAGTGGAAGGCGGAGCCAGCTCCAATGTCTTCTCCATGTTTGATCAGTCGCAGATCCAGGAGTTTAAGGAGGTCAGTCACTGTCCCCAGGGCTGTGGAAGGATTAAAGGAAGAAAGGGACATCAAGAAGGGAGCCGGGCATGGGGTCGTCCCTGGGGTGCCTCAGAGCCTGAAGATGTGACCTGCAGCCTGCAGCTGTGAGCAGCCTGCTCCTCTCTGTACCTGAGTCTGTGCCTTCTGGGTGACCTCGGCCAATGCCTTTCTCTTTCTGAGCCTCAGTTTCCTGCTCTATAAATGAGGGCTGCTGGCAGCCCACTGTGCCTGCTAAGCTGGGTGGCTGGGTGGCCCACTGATGTCCGCACTGATGTCCCTGGGGCAGCACCTGCAGGGGAACAGTGCCAGGACAGCTGGGGTGGGCAGGCTGATGGCTGCTCAGCGCCAGTTTCTCTGCCAGGCCTTCACCATCATGGACCAGAACCGGGATGGCTTCATCGACAAGGAGGACCTGAGAGACACCTTTGCTGCACTGGGTGAGTGGCCCAGCAGCTGGGGAAGCTTGGGGCTAGGGAGGGGCAGAGCCCAGGCCACCAAGCAAGAGTCGGGGTGCAGGGGGGTATGTATGTGTTGTGAGCTAAGGGATGCAGAGGAGGGGGCTGCCTGGGAGGTGGGGGAGGGTCCCAGGTGTGAGAGTAAGACACAGGAAGTGAGGACACTGCAGGGGCAGCGAGAGCCTGGGTGAATGCCTGGGGGTCAAAGGGGGTCAGGTGCCAGGGAGGGCCCTTGAGGCACCAGTGGGGTTGGGTGGGAGAAGGGTCATAGCCAGGTCATCTCTGGCTGGGCCCACAGCCCTCAGGGATCAGAATGTCCACTGGAGCCCTGAGGAATCCAGAGTTCCCACCTCCAGGGGTGCATGAACCCTGGGCACCTGTGTACCCCCACCTTAGTTTCTTTGGGTCTCAGTTTCCCCATCTGCAAAGGGGAGCTGAAAACACAGTTGGCCTCTTTTCCAGGGTGGCTGAGGTGGAGGTGGTGGCAGGGGTGAGGCTGGGGACAATCCCATGCAGACTTTGGGCTGATGGTCCCCCCCCCCCCCCGCCCAGGGGACCAGGGCTTCAGGGCTGTGAAGGGCAGGTGGGACAGTAGAGATGGGAGACTTAGCTGCCTCTCATGGGATCCCTGGACCCCCTTCATGTTCCTGGATCCCCCCTTGCTTCCTCCCCAGGCCGCATCAATGTCAAGAACGAGGAGCTGGAAGCCATGGTGAAGGAGGCTCCTGGGCCCATCAACTTCACCGTCTTCCTGACCATGTTTGGGGAGAAGCTCAAGGGTGAGTGAGGCTCCAGGACCCTTGGAGGGGCTGTGCTGGGTGTAGACATGTCCCCTGTGCCCAGCCAGCCCTGACACTTGTACATAGACACAGGCAGGAACAAGATGTGGCCCCAGATGCCAGCTTCCGGGTGCACAAAGCATCCCGGGCCCTGCCTTAGTCTCCATCCTCTGTTGAGTCCTTTGTTCACCCTGAGGACAGTGCTCCTGCCTCCCCTCCTCCTGTCTTCCCTCTGCTGTGCTTTGATGCCCCTGCCAATGGGGGGCAGGCAGAGGGGCATTGTGGGGGAAGGGGCTTCTAAAAGCGAAGGTGACAACTCCATCACTGGACAGGTTACTCATCTCAGAAATAAAGAGCCAGAGGAGGCTCAGAGAAGTTGTGACACCTGCCCTGGGGTCCCAGCAAACAGGTGGGTCTCCTGGAACCCCAGCCTGGACCTGGGCTCTAACTGCTGCTATCTCCCAACACAGCATTAGGGTCTCTTCTTCTCTGTCCCTTCTCTCTGCTGGCCCTTGGAGGTCCCCTCTAATGATACCCTCAGAGCTCGAGAGTTCTGTGGCTGGAAGGAAAAGTGTTCCTGGGCTGTGCTGACCCCCAGAGCTGCACACTCTTGTCACCCACTGTCACCTGCTGCCATCTGATGTCCTCCTTTGGCTTGCCTGTCTAAGCAGACCCTCAGAGTAACCTTGGGTGGGCTTGTCTGCTCTCTACACCTCCATTTTTACTCTGTACAATTGGAATTTTACCCCGAGGCTGCTGTGACAAATGACCACAAACTTGGTGGCGCCAAACATCAGAACTGTATTCTCACAGTTCTGGCGTCTAGAAGTCCGAAATCTGGCCAAGCCAGGCTCTCTGGGGCCCCAGGGGAGAATCTGCTTTTTGTCTTCCAGCCTCAGGAGGCTGCTGGATTCCCATATCCGCCTCAGGGTCACCAGGCCCCCTCATGTGCTGCTTAATCCTGGTCTCTGCCTTCCTCTGATAAGGACACTTGTCCCTGGATTTCAGGGTCTATCTAGAGATTCCAGAATGGTCTTGTCATCTCAAGATCTTTAACTTGCATCTGAAAAGGCCCTTATCCTAAGTAAGGTTCTGGTGGATCAGCCCACTATGGGGGTGAGTCCTATTAATATCAGAGAAAATCAGTTCTCTCCTGGCTCATGACCTGCTGGAGCATACTGGAGCCTCCTCACTCAATGTCCTGGCAGATCCTAGGGCAGGAAGGAGGCCCGAGATCTGCCTGGGGGTCAGAGGCAAGGAAGCTGGGGCTGGGAGGCTGGGCACTCTCTCTGCGGCAGACTTTGAACTTGGGGCTGCACCGCTCTCGCAGGGTCCCGGGGGCCCGTGGCAGCTGCTGGGCATTGTTTCCAGGCTGTGTCCAGCTCCCAGAAGAACTCAGAAGCCCAGGACCCTGGGCCAGGGCAAATACTGCCTGGGAGACGTGGGTGGCTCCAGCCAGCAGCCCTTAATGAAGCAGGAGCCTGCCCTCCACATTTTTTTTTTTTTTTTCAGTACTGGAGATTGAACCCAGGGGCTTTGCACAGATCTACATCCCCAGTCCTTTTTTTTCATTTTAAATTTTGAGACAGGGTCTCACTAACTTGCCCAGGAGGGCTTGAACTTGGGATGGTCCTGCCTATGCCTCTCAAAGTGCTGGAATTACAGGTGTGCCACCATTACAGGTGTGCCACCATGCCCGGCTACTGGTCCCATTTTAGAGGTAGCAACTTGATCCTGGGAGAGCCAAGGCATGAGCTCCTGGTTTCTAAGTGTTCTGGGGAAGGGGAGAGCTCCTCTAGCTCCAGATGGCTGCAGCCTATTGGCAGACTGGGTGAGGCTCGGTTACCTGCCTGTGGCTGGGCTGGAGCCGTGACCCAGGGCCTGGTGGGGGCTGCAGGGCTACAGCTTTTACTCATGTCTGCAGGGGCCCCAGGCCTGTCATGTGAATGTGGCCAAGCCTGCGTGACAGGCCAGCAGCCGGGAGGGCAGGGGCTGGGCCGGGCACTGCCTCATCCCACTAATTGAGACAAGGAGACTTTGTCATGAGATTCTCAGTGACGGGAAGCAGCCACTCTGCAGCCCGTTTTATGAGGTCCGCAGGCCCAGAGTAGAGGCCGTCTCTGGGGACCGAGTGCCTGGTCCTCCCAGCCCCCGCGCAGGGAACAGCCTTCGAGGTGAGGGGCCGCCAGCCGGGCCGGTCCACCCAGGACTGCAGGCGCCCATCACAAACCGGCCCCATCTGTGAGGCCTCTTCAAAGATGTTCGGAGTTTCCAGCTGATTGCCGAAGCCTGGGAGTCTGGAGCCTGGACGCAGAGACACAGTAGCCTTCATCATGGTGCTCTCACCACTCCTCCCTCTCCAGCCTGCAGCCCGACCCCAGGCGGCCCTGGGCTCGGCCTCTGGGCTGGGCACGTGGGCCCCCTGCTGTCCTTGCAGAGGAAACCCCATCTCACCCTCCAGTAGCTCCTGGGCCAGCACGGCCAGCACAGGCCATGCTTTCTCCCATCTGGCCAGTCTCAGAGACTGAGTGACTTGAACACTGCCTGGCCTGTTCTGGATGAGCTTCCAGTTGGGGGCATAGTGTCTACTCTCCAGGGTGCTCCAGGTCTCCCTTGGGTCAGTGCCACAGCTGCAGTCCTGGAGCCTGGCAGAGCCCTGAGGCTGTCTGCAGCCCGATCTACTGACCTTTCTCAAAATCCAGCCACGGTGCCTCACCCAGCTGGCCATATGGGGGGGGGCAGCAAACACCACCTCTGTCCCTGTGACATCAGGAGTCCCAAAGAGATGAAGGAGGCCTCCTGGGCCCAAGGTGAGCTGTGACCCGGGAAGAGGTCCAGGTGAGGGTCATAAGGCCGCTTGGCATTCACACAGCCTGGGAGGCCTCCATGAGTCTCTTCCTCACTCTGGGCCTCAGTTTCCCCATCAAAACATCGAGGGTGCAAGGTATTCAAGCTCGCGGTGGGATTCAGAATCATTTATTGTGCTGCAGCTTTCCCCAAAGCCATGAAAGTAATAACCAGCCCTGGGCTGGCCGCACTGCCTCCCGGCCTACTACCCCCCACCACTTCTGGGTGGGACAGTCTTGCAGACCTCTCCAGTGCCCTGCGCTAGCTCCAGCCTCAGCTCCCAAGTACAGAGCTCTTTCTCTTTCCCTCCCAGTCTCTGTGCATAGTGTGAGTAATGAGTGAGGCCCAGAGTTGCTGCTCCCAAGAATCAGTTGCTACTGATTCTGTAGCCATATCCGCTTTGAGAACTTGGCAAGGCAAATACTGTAATCTTTCTGAGGCTCAGTTTCTTCATCTATAAAATAGGAACAATTGTCAGGAGCAAATAAGTTGCCCATGTACAGATGTGCAGGTTGTTCATGAGTCCACATGTGCAGTTCCTTGTGTGTTTCTCTGTGGCTTCTCTGCTCTTGTTTCAAGTGGGGTTGGGCTTCACTGTGGAGTGGAGTCAGAGGCCACGGCTCTGACTGTCTCTGAGGGGCCTCTTTACCCGCCGCTCTCCCTGCCCCGTGTGTTGTTTGTAGGCACTGACCCCGAGGAGACCATTCTCCACGCCTTTAAGGTGTTCGACACTGAAGGGAAAGGCTTCGTCAAGGCTGACTTGTAAGTCCCCTGAACCCCAGGGGTTCACCCCCAAGGGCTCGGAGGAGGCATGCGCTGGCATGGGCCAGGTGGGTGGCGGGCCAGTCTCCTCTTCTACTCAGAACTCTGCTGAGCTTGGGCAGCATCCAGCCAAGACTTCTGATGTCCCTTCCTTGCCCTGGGCTTTAGTGTCCCCCTCTGAAATGAACAGAAAGTACGGGTCACTCAAGGAGGGCTTCTCAGTGGTGGGAATGGGGTGTGGACAGAGGTGGCACTTGAAGGAGGACTAAGATTGTATAGGGCAGGAACAGCATTTTAGATGCTGCAAAGGACTGGGCTTGACACCTGCGGACTGGGGGCTGGAGGGTGTGGGCTGAAGTCGGGCGCGAGAGATGGGGCACAGGGACATGGGCAGGGGCTGTGATGGGAGAATGGAGAGCCTGGAAAGGGCTGCACCCCGCAACCTGGAGGCCAGCCTGGAGGAGGAGCCGAGAGGGTTGTACCACCCAGGAGGCCCAGGGATGTTGGAATGGAGAGGGGGTGAGTGGGTCAGTAAAAGCCAGATGACAGTGCCCAGGGAAACCAGGGTGTGAAGAGGACTGAGCCGGATGTCAGTCACGGCCCGAGTGGATGGGGGGTGGAGGCAAGGTGGGGAGGTGGCCCACTCAGCTTGGGTGGCTGTGTGCAGCCTGTGGGATGGCTTTGTGGAGGTGGGTGCTGCCTTGGGGGTCCTACTGGGCCTGGGAGCCTCTCCCTTGGGAGAAGGGACCCCAGGGAGGCAGTGACCGGCTCACTACCCAGTGCCCCAGGGGTCCCTGCTGAGCAGGGCTGGGTGGTGGGTGGCCCTGGACAGGTGAGCTGTCTGCCAGGCAAAGGCTTGTGGACCTCAGGTTGTGGAGGGGTCCTGCTGACCATCAGCACCCCGTTCTGTGGGCCAGGTGAGTTAGAGTCCTGGGGTGCAAAGGGACTGCCGAGTGCATCTCAGGCTAGACCCTCCTGTTTTCCCCGCCTCGGGATCTGGGGTTCCCACCTCCATCTTGGGGAGTGCGGCCTGGAGCAGCCCCTCTATTGTCTCCTCCCAGCTTGAGAACAGGGCTGGGGACCACTGGGGACCCAATTTGGAAATGGAAAGTGCCACCCTGGTCCATAGGACCCAGATGATGTGGCCACTGGCCAGACAGGCCACAGAGGAGGCTCTGGCTGAAACGGAGTCTGTGAAGAGTCCCCAGCCTGGGGAGTTGGAAACTGTGACTGTCCCACAGTAACATAAATAATGGAAAATGTGTGTCGGTCCTGACCAGGGCCTGTCATTGCCGGCGCCAGAGGACACTGGAGTGCATGGGGCTGTTCAGCCTTCAGATCCCATCCCTGTCTGCTGAGCGCCCCCCTTAAGCCTTGCAAGGCTGCCATTCCCTTGTATGTGGACCCAGTGTGGCTCCTGAGGTCCCAGGAGACTCTGGTGGCCGTGACCAGCTGCTCTCCTAAATACCAAGTGGTACAGTCCCCATTGCCTCACTCTGGGATGTCCGACAAGGCCTAAGACCTCCTGAGCCTCAGTTTTCCCCTAAATAAGAGAGGATCAGAGTACTCATTTCCCAGGTCTGTGAGAACTAAGATCCAAGAGGACCCAGCTGTGGCAGGCCTTCTTGAGCCCTGTAGTCTGTCAAACGCCCTACAGACGTCAGCGAAAGTCACAAGCTGGAAAAGACAGTGTACCAAGAATAAAACAAAGAGCCTCAAAGGGCCTGAGTGTCCTCCTCAGTGACCCTAAGGTCAATCATTAGCACACCATGGGAATCAGAGTGGTCCCAAGGTCAGGATGGGGTCTCAAGGTCATTCCATTTGGTCCCCACCCAAGGTGGGGTGGAGATCTGCCTCATAAAAGAGGCAGCTGGGGCTCAGAGAGCTGCCAAGGGCTGGGGTGTCAGCCCCAGTCATCCCTGTCACCCCTGGGGTCTGCCTTTCCTCTACACATGACTGCTTCTCCCCTTGAGCAGTATCAAGGAGAAGCTCATGACCCAGGCGGACCGGTTCAGTGAGGAGGAGGTAAGTGTGGCTTTCAGAGCCCCAAGGGTCCCCACTCTGGCCCCCAGTCACCCCTGGTCTAGCCTGACTCCTTGCCCTCTGCCCAGGTCAAACAGATGTTTGCAGCTTTCCCACCAGATGTGTGCGGCAACCTCGACTACAGGAATCTGTGCTACGTCATCACGCACGGTGAAGAGAAAGACTAGGAGACTCGAGTCTACCCTGCATTTGGAGTCAGTGGAGACTGGAGGGGGGCTCCTGCAGCCCGAGGGCACAGGGGAGGCTCTCCCGTCCCACAGGTTGGGGTGAAGCAAGAATAAATCATGCGAAGGTCTGAGTTTGCGTGCTGAGTGCTCCGGCTAGGAAGACAGTGAACATTCCTATTGTGTTGGTTTTTCCAAAATGTTTTGGTTCCCTGGCTCTGCTCAAACTGTTCCTGATGAGCTGGTGTTTAGAACTAATTGGCAGTTTTAATGGTCCCCAGCTGGGCCACAGAACATTGCCTCCATTTATGCAGCTTTTATTGAGCACCTAGTGTGAGCCAGGGGCTGCACACGATGAACCAGACCTGTCCGAGGGCAAGAAGGTCAAGTGAGCTGCAATGAGGAAGATGGTTGGAAGGGACAGAAGCTGGGGCAGGACATTGGTGGGGGGAGAGGGGAGCTGAACAGGAGGCATCTGGGAGCCAGGAGCTGGGCAGAAGCTGAGGGACAGATTCAAAAGACATTTAAGGGTAGGCAGAGATTTCTCAATCAGGACATATGGCACCAAACATAAAATATAAAGTGAGTAAATTGGGCTTCATAAAAATTAAAAACTTCTGCTAACCAAAAATGCAATTAAGAATGTGGAAAGACAGGGCAAAGGATGGGAGAAGATATTGGCAACACAGAGATCCTTATAAAGATCTGATATCCAGAATATATGTATATGTGTATATATTTAAACCTGAATATAAATAATAGAAAAATGAAGTGGGGCAGGGTGCTGCACACCTGTGATCCCAGCACTCTGGGAGGCAGAGGCAGAAGGATCAAAAGTTCAAGCCCAGCTTGGGCAACTTAGTGATTTAGCAAGATCCTGTCTCAAAATAAAAAGGAAAGGCTGGGGATGTAGTTCAGTTCAAAGGCTCTGGGTTCAATCCCCAGTACCACAAAAACAACAGCAACAATAATAACATAGAAAGATTTTTTAAAAAATCCAACTAGGTAGATGATAAATAAGACCCCAAGCCTCTTTCCTTATGAGGAAATGGCAAATTAAAAATACAGTATGGTACCCTTTCACCTGAATGGCTAAAATGAAAAGGATGGACAATTCCATGTGTTGGTGAGGAGGCAGAGCCACTAGAACCCTCAGAGCAAGGTGTGAGGCCGGTCCCCACACTGGGATGCTATTCGGCAAGATCTATTCAGGTTAAGTCCACGCATACGCTGAGCTGCAGTTCCACACCGTATACTTAGAAGAACCTTTTTATTGAGGTATAACTCACAAACTATAACACCTTTTTATTATTATTTTATTAGCACGTGTTTGCAGTACATAATGAAAACATTCACTGTGAGCAGTTGGCAAACACTTGCCATTTCATTTGTTACTTTTCGGTACCAGAAATCGAACTCAGGACCTTGCACTTGCCAGGCAGCTGTGGCACCACTGAGCTAAATCCCTGGCCCAACACTCGCCATTTCAGAGTGGCTTTTAGTCCACTCTCGAGGTTGTAGAACCTTCGCCACTATCCAGAACCTTCTGTCACCACTACAAGAAATCCATTAGCAGCTTCTCTCCATCCCTCTTGCATCCAGTGTCTAGAGACTTGGATGTAAACATAGGTGAAAGATTGTCCGGATGTACCTCAAAATCTGTGCACTGTAGCCAGGTGTGCTCTTGCACATGTGTAGTCCCCGCACTCTGGGAGGCTGAGGCGGGAGGACTGCAAGTTCAAGCCCAGCCTGTGCAACTTAGTGGGTCAGTGAGAACCTGTCTCTAAATACAAAATAAAAATGGACTGGGGATATAGCTTAGTGCAAAGGCCCTGGGTTCAATCTCCAAGGCTGAGAAGAGTGAGAGAGGCAGAAGCACATGATCAGGAGGTAGGATAAAGAGCCCTTGGGGTTGGAGGGCATGGGAGGAGTCCTGGGGTCTCACGGGACTCCCTTGGCTGGGCGCTGACAGCAGTGGATGATCCAGCCAAGATGCAGGGTCAGGGAGAGGCGTGAGGACGGGAGAACTCAATTGGTCCAGGCAGAGGCAAGTCAGGCCAACTACATGGGCTCAGAAGTGCCAGCCCTAGGCTACGGTTTGTGTGTGCACTGCAAAGGAAACTGAGGCACAGCACTTGCCCAGGGTCAGCTGGGAGTCTGCACCCGGAACCCCAGGCTCACACTGCCTCCCACACAGCGGACTGGCCCAGGGCTGGGTCTCACCAAGAGCAGTGCTCCTAGGCCCCTGGGCATGCACAGGTCCCTGTTGGTCCCTCAGAAGAGGTGGCTGGGAGGTCACCCTGGAGCTCCTGGCCCAGGACACAAGGAGCGGATTCCGGAAGCTCCCTCCCTCCCTCCACCCCAGGCCTGGCTCCCCCTTGCTCTCTAAGACCTTGGCTTTCCTGGAAATCATGCATGGAGCTGTCTCTGCTGCTGCTGAGCCTGTCAGACCTGTTTGTGTCCCACAGAACCAGGCCAGAGCCAAGGCTCTGGGGAGTGGGCACCTGGGGCCACAGGCGCCTGCTCACCTGAAGCCCCACTCTGTGACAGCCAGACCTGCCAGCCAGCAGGGCCCAGGCTCATGGGGGACATGGGGCAGCCCTGGGGAGTCCAGAGGGTGTCCTGAGGCTCAGTGAGGAGGCTGAGATGTGTCTCTCATTCAGCCTTCCATCACCTATCATTTCTACCTCCTCTGCAGGACCCAGAGATGATCACTAACACCAGGGACACCTCATTTGACTCCTAGTGATACAGAAGCCAGGTGTGGTGCCACTGGTGGCTGCCAGGCTCTTGCAACTTCCCCAAGCTGAGGCTCCCTGATGCTCCCAGCTGTCCCTGACCCAGAGCCTTCTGTCTCTGTGGCTCTGCATCCCTATCTCCCGAGATGCCTGCCCCCAGATGGCTTCCCGAACCCCCAAGCCCTGGTCCAGGCTGCTGGGGTGCTCTCACAGCAGGGCTGGGCACTGAAGCTCCTGAGAGCCGGAGACAAAGACAAGAGCAAGGCTCAGACGGATGGCAGGCTAGGGATGGTGTCCTGCGTGCTGTGTGGGCATGGCAAGAAGTGCCACCTGTCCTAAATCAGGCCTAGGCTTATCTCTCTGAAGGTATAGTTGCCCTTTCTGCCTCCCTGCCCTGCCCTGTAACCACTGTCCCTCAGTTCTTGCCTCAGCTGCATGGCTTCATTCCTTCTCTGAATGTTCTGCTTCCTCCTGCCACGTGACCTTTGCTTACGCTGTTCCCACTCGCTGGAACGCTCTCCCACCCAGCACCTCCCTCCCTTACCCAGTCACATAAATTCTTCTCTGCTTTCTGCTTAACTCAGTAGCACACGTGTAGTCTCAGACATCCAGAACAGGTCAAATGCCTTTCTGAGTACTTTCAGGCCACCAAATACTTCTGTAACTGATGTCTGTCTTCCCACAGTGCTGTACACCCCTCAGGGTGGGCGTCAGGCTAGAGTCTGCCCACTGTGGTACCTCCAGAACCCCACACAGGGCCTGTCACTCTTGGAAGTGCCCAGAGAGTCAGCCACGAACCCCATAATTCTCTGGGGCAGCTGTGTGCTCTGGGCTTCTAAGAGGACACTGTGTCCATATAGAGCCCACCCCAGGCCTCCACGGGACCTGCCCTGTCTATCTGGGCCTCAGTGTCCCCATCAGCAGAACAGAGCACAGTGGCCCTAGGCATTTCAGGGGCCTCCAGCTCCCAAGGCAGCTGCAAACCCAAGGCTGTGGCTGTGCCCAGGCCTGTCTGGTGGTGCCTGTGCTCCTGGCTGTCTCGGACTCCTGGTGACCCCTGACTGGACCTGGGCGGTGAGGACAGCGAGCCCAGGCAGGCCAGGGCAGATAGGGATCCCCGGAGAGCGGGGCGCAGGCAGCTGGCCTGCCCTGGCCTGCTGGCTCCCCCAGCCAGCTATGGCTCATTGAGGGCAATTAGTCCATTGAGACTCTGGGCTCAGCATTTCCTTTTGCACACAGCATCTATCCAAGGGGCCCTTCGGACAGTGGCCCCTTATAAATCATGACAGGGTCACTGTTAGGAGGAATGGCAAATTCCTTCCACCCGTGTGGCTGCCTAAATTGCCTGCAAGAGCAGATTCCCTTCTGGCACTTGATCAAGAATGGCTGAGTCCTTTGAAAGTCCTCCCGGGATGGGACGGACCCCAGGGGCTTGGAGCCGGCTGGTCGGGAACCTCCCTGGGAGCTCTGTGACCGCAGCGGGGTGGGGCCGAGGGGCCAGTGTGGCTGAGGGAGAGACCCTGCCCACACAGATACCCAGGCACTCTGTTGCCATGGCAACCCTGGGAGCCTGCACCTTTTAGGCCAAGAAGTGGCTCAGTGGTATCTTTAGCCTGGGACACCAGACCTCAGAGCCACACAATATCCCCTGCTTTGGGAGTTGGAAAAGCAGGTGGTGAGGTCCCCAAAAGATACCTGGTGGGGAACTCTACCGGGTGTCTGCTGCCAATGAGTAGACCCTGGGCTCGGATGGGGGCTGCAGCCTGGTTGGGGGTTGGTCCCAACCTCCAGGGTGGGAGGGTCTGTCGCTGTCACCCAAAGCCCTTGGGTCTCACGTGGCAAAAAGGGAAGAAAAGCCCTCTGTGGGAGACAGTTGGGGGCACAGGTCCTGTGCTGGCTCCTAGCAAGCATCCAGCACCTCTGTCAGAAAGTGGCCCTGGGCAAGTCACAAGCCACCCGGTGCTTGGTTTCCCTGTCCAGAAAATGAAGACCATGCTGAGGCTGGTCCAGGGAGCAGGCAGTGGCCCACAGCTGTGCAGGCTGGGGTGAACATTTATCCCAAGAGGAGGACGCTCCGGCTCCATGGGGACTGGCATGATCGGAAAAGTGATTTATTAACCCAGGGTGACAAGTACAAAGTCAGGAAGTGCTGAGGAACTGAGGAAGCCCAGAAGAGATGCCCAATGCAGCCTGGGAAACTTCCTGGAGGAGGTAACAGGGGAGCTGTGAGGGGAAAACTCAGACAAGGAGGGAAAATGAATGGAAGAGGCAGGAAAGGAGTCTCTTGCTAGACCAGATGCTTTCTGCCAACTACACGAGAGAAAGGGGTTCTGTGTGGGGCTGGCAGGCCTCTGGGGGCCCACTGTCCTTTTGAGGGGGGTACTAGAGATTGT